GACTGAGCCACCCAGGTGCCCCTTGCAATGCCTTTTACAACCATATGACTTTGAGAAATGCACAGAACTCCAGTGATTCTCAGTGGCGTCATCTGTAGAATAGGGATAGTGATGGCTCTCACGTAGAGCTATGGTGAGGACTGAGTGGAAGAAATATGTGGGGTGTACAGCAGAGTCTGGCATGGGAGTGTTTGAAAGAAATGGTTATTAAGACTGCCATCGTTAACACGAACCACCTGAAAACAAGAGTGAGGCGGTGATACCAGGATGCCAGCAGATCAGGGCTCTCCATGGCAGGTGTCTCTGGCCCGGAGGATGGTGACAGTGGGCACTCCCACATGATGGTTTTGGAAAAGCTTGTTTCTCTGGGAGCCAGGACTTTTGCTATAATTAGTGTAGTTAAACGTTTGTGTGATTGGTAGCTATTTCTGTTATAGGTGCTCGTCTCTCTTATTCTGAGATCTGATGACCAGGTTTGAATTCTTTAGAAGTTCAAAACTTAAGCAGTTTCACACATTTACTTGTTGGAAGTACTTTTGAAAAGCTTAAGAGCAAATCACTCATCATTTTATGATTACTTAAAGATGTATATTATAGTTTTTTGCTTCAGTTTTTTCTTCTAGGTAGTTAACATATAGTATAATATTAATTTCAGGAGCAGAATTTAGTGACTCCTCACTTACATACATCACTCGGTGCTCATCACAAGTACACTCTTTAACCCCCTTCACCCATTTAGCCCAGCCCCCACCCACCTCCCCTCTGGCAACCCTCAGTTTGTTCTTTGTGGTTAAGAGTCTCCTATGGTTTGCCTCCCTCTCATTTTTTTCCTCCGCCTATATTCATTTGTTTTGTTTATTAAATTCCACATATGAGTGACATCATATGGGATTTGTCTTTCTCTGACTTACCTCACTTCAGCATATTGTATTCTAGCTCCATCCATGTTGTTGCAAATGGCAAAATTTCATTCTTTTTGATGGCTGAATAATATTCCACTGTATATTCCACTTCTTTATCCACTCATCAGTCAATGGGCATTTGGTCCCTTTCCATAATTTGGCTGTTATTAATAAAGACGTGTTATATTCTATCCTAACTCCTATTTCATCCCATTCACGGTCTTCTAGCATGTAAGGTCCTAGGCATCATTTTTACTATTAACTTTTATATTCAAGCTGAAGCATGGCTCTAACTAAAAACTAGGTTCATCTCTCCATGCGGTAACTGATGGCTTCCACATGGAAAAGAGGGAGAGGAGTTGAAGACCATGAAATAAACTAGCCATATTCTCTGGATCAGGGGCATTTCATTAATTATCTCAGAAGCTGTATAAGATAAGCCTTGTATTTCCCATTTTACAGTTGAGAATCTGAAGCCCAATTTTTAGTGATATATCCAAAATCAAATAGTTGGAGGGAAAAATAAGGACTAGAACCCAGATTGACCCAACTCTGTAAAGCAGGGAATGTCCGTCTAACTTCATAAAGTAAAAAGAGAATATCAAGTTTGCTAAATCTGAGAGAAGTTAAAGGCACTGTCTGCTAAAATCTTTGTATTAAAAAATTTTTTTATGTTTATTTATTTATTTTTTAAATGTTTATAGTTTATTTATTTTTGAGACAGAGAGAGACAGAGCATAAGTGGGGGAGGGGTAGAATCTGAAACAGCCTCCAGGCTCTGAGCTAGCTGTCAGCACAGAGCCCGACACAGGGCTCGAACCCACAACCGTGAGATCTGACCTGAGCCGAAGTCGGACGCTTAACCGACTGAACCACCCAGGCGCCCCAATGTTTATTTAATTTTGAGAGAGAGAGAGAGAGCAAGTGGGAGAGAGGCAGAGAGAGAGGGAGACAGAATCTAAAATAGGCTCCAGGCTCTGAGCTGTCAGCACAGAGCCCGATGTAGGGCTCAAACTCATGAGCCGCGAGATCGTGACCTGAGCCAAAGTTGGACACCTAACCAACTGAGCCACCCAGGTGCTCCTAAATTCTTTGTTAATGTCAGGGATTTGTCGGGGAGAAATGGGAAGAATATAGGAAGTCTGCCTGTAAGATGCACTTTTCAAACATAAAACCATAACTTAAAGAAGACAATATTTGAACAGATAACATTTCAGTGTTGCTCATTGGAAACATTTGTTCTGTCTCAGTAAGTGGACTTCCCTAGTTATCTGGGCCTTTAGAAAGCCTAAGCCCTGAGCATTGGTCATATACGTGTAATCACTTTCTAGAACTTACAGGCCACTTAGTAATATTTGGGTGAAAACTGTAAAGGTAAAATATGACATGTTTTAAAGTAAACTCCTCATGCTCCAGATCAAAGCACTGCTTAGATGGCAGAGCATCAACATGGAAACCAACAGATACTGACTGCGTGCGAGTCTTTACGTGCCTCCATCCAAGCACAGACCAACCATGTCCTCAAAAGAAGAGGAGAGAAGAGGGGAAGTTTGGGGGGGAGGGCAATTGGGACCCTGAGAATGAAGTGTGATCACACATTTCGAGTCAGGTCCTCTACTGCCTTTATGGTCATTTGGTTTTATGATCTTTATGTAACAGGAAACCAAACTCGGGAAAGTTGTACACTGAGTCCAGTCTCAGAATGATCCGACTTCAGAGAAGACCACTCTGCCTCCCAGGAGGGCCACGGCTGTGCTGTCACAATGTGTTAAAAAATATTTCTCATGTGGAAATTTATGTATTGAGAGACGCCCTGGCACCGGTCAATAATAACCATTGACTTTGATTTTATAGCCAAGGCAGTACTTCTCCATAACACATCTCCTTAGAAATGACCTTTAATGAAAGCCAACGCCATGACATTAAGAAAGTACACAGGGCATGGCTGAATTACTTATGATACGGTCTGCAAATCTGAGGTGTGTAGAAAGTAATTAACATGGATTTGCCCTACATTCCTTAGCATTTGGCCTCTGAAAACCTGCTGATACCATTTGGAACATTTCATGCCCTACAGATCCCTGAGGGAGCGTTCTCTAAGTAAAACAATCCTTTTAACTCCATTTTAGTTGAACATGGAATTGTTCTAAACTTCATATTATAATGGGGAGAATAATTTGGGCTTAAAGGCAACTTTTCTGACCTGTTCTGAAAATTACTATCCTTTCAGTTAGAAGAGGAAATAAATTTATGTGCTTTAAAAATCTCTCAAGATGAGAATAAAGAAAAACCGAGTTATTTCTCACCTACTGTGCTAGATTACATTTTGTGCTATGATCTATAAAGAAGAACTCAGTCTGCTTTATTTGCATCATGCATTTAAGATGAAAACCTAGTGGCACACTGGCAGACAAAATCAACAAACTGAGCTGTGTTTTAGCAACTGAAATGGAATGTATTTTATTTATTTATTTAATTTATTTTTAATTAAAATCCAAGTTGGTTAACGATTTCTGGAATAGAATTTAGTGATTCATCACTTACCTGTAACATTCCATGCTCATCCCGAAATCGTGAATGTGTTTTAAAAGTGAAAACCGAAGAAAGGGGAACCCTCTCGCACTGTTGGTGGGAATGCAAACCGGTTGTGCCACTGGGGAGAACAGTATGGAGGCTCCTCAAGGAAGTAAAAATAGAACTACCCTGTGATCCAGTAATTGTGTAATTAGGTATTTACCCAAAGGATACAAAAATACATATTTGAAGGAGTACATGTACCCCGATGTTTATAACAGCGCTATCAACAAGAGGCAGACCATGGAGAGAGCCCAAATGTCCATTGACTGATGGATGGATAAAGAAGATGTGGTATATAGTATACAATAGACTATTACTCAGCCATCAAAAAGAATGAAATCTTGCCATTTGCAGTGATGTGGTTGGAGCTAAAGGGTATTATGCTAAGTGAAATAACTCAATCAGAGAAAAGACAAATACCATATGGTTTCACTTATATGTGGAATTTAAAAGACAAACCAGGGGCTCCTGGGTGCCTTAGTCGGTTAAGTGTCCGACTTTCGCTTAGGTCACGATCTCATGGTTCGTCGGTTTGAGCCCCGCGTCAGGCTCTGTGCTGACTGCCAGCTCAGAGCCTGGAGCCTATTTCAGAGTCTGTGTCTCCCTCTCTCTCTGACTCTCCCATGCTCACGCGGTCTCTCTCTTTCTCTCTCCCAGAAATAAATTAAAAATAAATAAAAATAAATAAAAAAATAAAAGACAAACCATATATGGGAAGGGGGGGGAAGAGAAGAGAAGGAAACAAACCGCAAGAAACTCTTAGTGATAGAGAGCAAACTATGGGGTGACAGAGGGAGGTGAATGGGTGATAGGCTTGATGGGTGGGGGAAGGGCACTTGAGATGAGCACTGGGTGTCGTCTGTAAGTGATGAATCACTGAGTTCGACTCCTGAGACCAATATTGTATTGTATGTTAACTAATTAAAATTTAAATACAATAAAATGAAATTGAATTAAATTTTAAAAAGACCATTTTCAGTGTTCAAGAGACATTATCACAATGATGGATTTCTCAAAATAGCCCTAAGGAAAAGTTGAGTAAGCCTTATCTCTGTTTTATGCAGTGAAGGGGAAAAAATAAATTATGTAAGAAATATTTAAGGACAAGCAACCCCAGATAGGGCTAAAATGAATTGCTAGTCACAAAACAAAGACCTATATTATACACAAGTCTGTCCAAAAGATCTACATGTATATTCATCTATTTATATATGCTATCCTTTGCCTTTTGAAATTTAGATATATTTTGAACACAGCACGAGAATAAAAGCTAAGTAAAGTCAGAGATTTTTGTCCATTTTTTCTACTACTCCTAATGCCTAGAACAGTCCTTTTACATATTAGACACCCAATAAATATGTAAAGAATTAAAAAATGCAAAACAAATTCAAGAAATCAGAGGTTGTCACAAACACATTTGCCTCATGGATTTGACATGAAGATGAAGAGAAATGTCCTTGTATTTGCCTCATGGATTTGACATGAAGGTGAAGAGAAATGACCTTATTTCTTGTCTTTTAGATACACAAAAATGAAGACAGCAACCAACATTTATATATTTAACCTGGCGCTGGCAGATGCCTTAGTTACTACAACCATGCCCTTCCAGAGCACCGTCTATCTGATGAATTCCTGGCCATTTGGGGACGTGCTGTGCAAGATAGTCATTTCCATTGACTACTATAACATGTTTACCAGCATATTCACCTTGACCATGATGAGCGTGGACCGATACATTGCTGTGTGCCACCCCGTCAAGGCTTTAGACTTTCGCACACCCATGAAGGCGAAGATCATCAACATCTGTATTTGGCTCTTATCGTCATCTGTTGGCATATCTGCGATAGTCCTCGGAGGGACCAAAGTCAGAGAAGGTAAGAGCCATCCTTGTCACCTCTGTTTTAAAAACCAGACTTCTAATGATATAAACTTTTACTGTGCAAGTGAGTAGGACACACATCTAGAGGGAAAACCAAAGCCAGTGGAAATATTATGCCTGAGTCCATGGAAAATGAAAAACACAATAATTCTGTGCTTTCCATATCTAAACATAGGATAGGATAAAGACATTACCCAGATACACCTATCGGCGGTTCTGGAAGTGCTTATCAGAATCTGGAAGAGTGGGGAGGAAGCAGGGAGCCACAGGCATGTGGAGTTTTAGAATACCTTGCATCCTGGCGATTCTCAGGTACACCTACGCACTCTTCTTTCTCCCTGAAAGAGGACCCTAAATCATTAGAGACCTGTGCTGGCTCTTTACTCTTTTTCTTTAGGCGTTAATCTCCATGTCACTATTATAATAGCTTCATCTGGCTATTGGCCATTCAAAATCAGGTTCACAGATAAATGACAATACACATGAGTCCCCCCTGCAAACAGGACACTTGATGTTTTCCCAGTATTTCTAAGATCTCACCCTGGGCTACATGTTGGAATCACCTAGACACTTTAGAAAATACAGTTGATCCTTGAACAATGTTGGGGGGGGCACCAACCCCACAGAATCAAAAATCCATGTATGACTTTTGACTCCCCAAAACTTAACTACTACCAATAGTCTATTATTGACCCAGAAGCCTTACTGATAACATAGTCAACTCACATGTTTTGCATGTTATATGTTTATATGCTGCATTCTTACAATAAAGTAAGCTGGAGAAAAGAAAATGTTATTAAGAAAAACATTAACATAGAGAAAATACAATGATAGTACTGTACTATATTTATATTTAAAAAAATCTGCGTATCAGTGCACCCGTGTAGTTCAAAACCAAACAAACCTGTGTTGTTCAAGGGTCAGTTGAACTGATGCCTGGGTCCGCACCCTGGAAGGTCTGGTTTAATTGGCCTGAGGTACTGTCTGAGTGTCAAGATGTTTTAGACACCCCCAGACGACTGTGACCTGTAGCCTGGGTGAGAATTACTGTTGGGGCAGTTTTGCTTAGAAATTCCTTGGGAAGAAGGGAGCAGAACCATCACTTTGGACTTTATAAATGCTATTTATTGCTATAGTAGTTCTCTAAATTCTCTAGTTTATTAGGAGGCTCATGGGAGTACAGATAATTGAGTATGTGTAGTAGAGGACTTGCCAGCTCATAGAAAGGGCAGGTACTAAAATCATAGCTTACGTGGCATTGTCCACATTTAAAAAACCTTTTTAATGTTTATTTTTTGAGAGACAGAGAGAGAAAGAGCGTGAGTGGGGAAGGGGCAGAGAGAGAGGGACACAGAATCCAAAGCAGTTTCCAGGCTCTTAGTTGTCAGCACAGAGCCTGATGCAGGACTCGAACTCATGAACCATGAGATCATGACCTGAGCCAAAGTCAGACACTCAGCTGACTGAACCACCCAAGTGCCCCTGGCATAGTCCACATTTCTGAAATACAATCTTTTCCCTCTTAAACAATAAAATGGATTTCCATGTGTTAAACTATAATACTCGGGTAAACTTTAAGACATGTTAAACTTCATCAGAGAAGCGTTTTAAAATATGATTAATTACATACCAGGGTTTTGTTTGTTTGTTTGTTTGTTTTCTTTCTGCATACAACAAATGAAAATAAAGTTGCAAGAGACTTTTGTGAGCCTGGGGTGTTGATACTTAATAACCAGATTCAAGAGGATTCAAAGACACCAGGAGGACTAGAAGAATGGCCTAAATAATCACAGAAGATGGTGATTTTCCCCATGGAACATAACTGATTTTGATATTTCACGACACCCTTGCAGACTTTACCACTGCAGTCCTCTAATTACTGTCAGAAAATGACATCGCAGAAGCGAATGGATCTCAATTTGGTTTTTGAAAGAGAAAATGAAGATAGGTGTAGGTTTTCCAGGAAGGAGTTGCTGTAGATGAATGCGTGCAGATGCAGTGGAAGAAAGGATCAACCAGTGTCAGGAGAAGATTAATCTGTGCAGCGAATAGAGGAGAAAATGGGAGAAAATTAAAGTAGTCCTGCAGGAGGGCTCCGTTCTTTCCATGTTTCTTTCATTTTCTAAAGCAGATTTTCATGTGATGAAAGATTGTCTGTGGACTCATTTTGGAGCACTGGATGACACCCCACGTCCAGACTCTTGGATAACCAAGAGGAGCATTTTCCACAATCTCTGTGCCCTGAAGTAGAGCTGAATGTGTTGGTAGTTGATAGTGTGGTGTTTGTGGAGCATGCTCACCGAAGGAAATCAGGCATGAATTGCATTAGAACACTTCCATCTGGACAAAATATCTCGGCTAATGTTCTGGGTTTCTTCCTGGTTTCTTTTTGGTTAAGAGCACAGATTCTGAAAGCAAGCTGCCTGGAATTGGATCCTGATTTCCCCTTTATGGACAGTATCACTTAGGAGACATTACTCAGACTTTTGTGCCTCAATGTCCTCATCTGCAAAATAGGGGCAGATAATAGTGTCTCTGTCTTAGAGGGTTTTCCAGGTCTAATGAGTCAGTGCATGGAAAGCCGGAAAGCAGTGCCAGTGTCTAGGAAGCGCTTATTAAATGTTAGCCAGCATCTTTATCTGACCTAATGATTTTAACAGGTCCTGCCTTCCTGCTTAGGTTTACCAACATCTACAGGATATTCCTTCAATATCAAAGGCTCTTGTGTACAGCAAAATTTTCACTTTATAGGCATAAGATGTTAAATATAACATGTTTATATAGTATAAACGTGTGTACCATCTATTTGGGGAATTCATAGTCTACCTATTACTATTACTAATGACTAACTTGTTATGGCTACAAACAAAAATACAAAACACAAACTGCAAATACAAAAGAATTCTTAACAAAAAGAATACACACAAGGAAAATTTTAGTTTAGGTATTAGAACTAACTCTATACTTATAACAGCCTTGAGACATTGGAACACGTGCCCAAAAAGAAAGCAATGGCCCTCTAATATTAATATAAAAGAAAAAGAAAAAGACTAGTGTGTAGAAAAACCACTTTATTATGGTTGATATGCAAAGAGCTGTACATATTTAATGTAAACAACTCACTGTGTCTGGAGATAAACATATACCTGTGAAAGCATCATTCCTTCAAGACCACAGACATTTATCACCTCTTGAAGTTTCTTCCTGCCTTGTTTATTATGTTTCTTGCGTGATAAGAAAATGTAACCTAAGATCTAAGTCAAGTATGTAGTTCAGCCTTGTCAGTTACAGAAACTGTGCTACATAGTAGATTTCCAGAACTTATTTACGTGTATAACTGAAACTTTGTACCCCTTGACCCCTGTCTCCCGTTTCTTGTGCCCCAAGCTCTTGGAAACCACAATTCTTGTCTCTGCTTCTATGAGTTTGATTATTTTAGATCCCATATATAAGCAGATCATATAGTATCTGTCTTTCTTTGTCTGGCTTATTACATTTAGCATGATGTTTACCAGGTCTGTCTGTTGCCACAATTGGCAAGATTTGTTTCTTTTATTATTTTATTTATTTATTTATTTATTTATTTATTTAAATGTTAATTTTTGAGAGACACAGCATGAGTCGGAGAGGGGTAGACAGAAAGGGAGACACAGAATCTGAAGCAGGCTCCAGGCTCTGAGCTGTCAGCACAGAGCCCGATGTGGGGCTCGAACTCATGAACTGAAAGACCATGACCTGAGCCAAAGTCAGACCCCCAATTGACTGAGCCACCCAGGAGCCCCAAGATTTCTTTTTTTTTAAAGACTGAATAATATTCCATTACATGTGTATATTGCTATGCATCATACCCCACATTTTCTTTATCCATTCATCCATCGGTGGACATTTAGGTTTTTTTCCATTTCTTGGCTAGTGTAAATAATGCTGCAGTGAATGTGGGAGTGCAGATACCTCTCTGAGATACTGATTTCATTTCTTTTGGATATATACCAAGAAGTGCAATTACTGGATCATATGATAGTTCTATTTTTAATTTTTTGAGGAGCCTCCATACTGTTTTCCAGAGTAGCTGCACCAATTTGCCTTTTCTGCACAAGATCCCTTTTCTGCACATTTTTGCTGACACATCTTTTTTTTTTTAATTTCTTTTCTTTTCTTCTTTTTTTTTGAATAATAGCCACCATAACAGGTATGAGGTGATGTCTCTCTGGTTTTGATTTGCATTTCCCTGTTGATTAGTGGCGTTGAGCACCTTTTTATATACCTGTGGGCAGTTTGTACGTCTTTTTCGGGGAAATATCTATTCAGGTTCTTTGCCCATTTTTAAATCAGATTATTTGCTTTTCCATTGTTGAGTTGTATGATTTCCTATATATTTCAGATATTAACCCTTTATTAGATACATGATTTGCAAGTATGTTCTTCCACTCTGTAGGCTGTCTTTTCAGTTTGTTGATTGTGTCCTTCACTGTGCAGAAGAGGCTTTTTTTTTTCTTCCTTTTTTCTAGTTTGGATTAGTTTGATGTTATCTTGCTCGTTTATTTTTGGTTCTGTTGTTTGTGCTTTGGTACTATATGCCCCCCCACCCCCCCAAAAAAAAAAGTCATTGCCAAGACCAGTGTCAAGAAGCTTTTTTTCTCCTATGTTATCTTCTGGTAGTTTTATTTACATTTAAATCTTTTTAAAAAATGTTTTATTTATTTCTGAGAGAGAGAGAGAGAGAGAGCAGGGGAGGGTCAGAGAGAGGGGGACACAGAATCTGAAGCAGTCTCCAGGCTCTGAGCTAGCTGTCAGCACAGAGCCCAACGCGGGGCTCAAACCCACAAACTGTGAGATCATGACCTGAGTGGAAGTCGGCCGCTTAACCAACTGAGCCACCCAGGTGTCCCTACATTTAAATCTTTAACCCATTTTGAGTTGATTTTGGTGTATGGTATATGATAAGGGCCCAAGTTCATTCTTTTGCATGTGGATACTTCATTTTCCCAGCACTAT